ACAACAAAAAATAAAGGAAATAAGTCAGGAAAAGATGGAGGTGAGGGCAGGATGATGTGGGGAGCAAGGGGGAGCTCCCACCACACCACCGGCCCCAGGGGCCTGGGAGGTCGCGCTCTGCAAAGGGTGGCGGACACACAGGCGCGGGACATGAAAGTGCTTTCTGCCTTTCCCCCGTGATGAGGTGTTCCCAGGTCAGCGTCAACTTCTTAACACAGGGAATTTTAAGGCTGACCCAGACTACAGAGGTCACTTAAAGATGAGGAAATGGGGGCCCAGAGAGACACAGTGCCCCGCCATGTCACACTGCAGGCAGCAGCGGAGCTGGGCCGGGAGCCTGGCCTCCCGCTCCATGCTCCCAGTGCCATTACTGCCTTAGGCCTCACTTTAAGTTCAGAAGGAGGCTTTCACTTAATTCTTTTCTATAAGCATAAGAAGAGGCAGAAGGAAGAGGTAAAAAGAGGCAGGAGAAGGGGGTAGGGAGAGGGCTGTGATGTGGAGGAGAGACGCCGAGAGCAATATCTGTATTGATTGCTGGTGGGACTGTTATAATAACCAAAGGCCAAAGAGAAGTGGATTGAGAGCTCGAGGCAAATAAAGACAACCACAATTCTGGACTCCGACGAGAATTTAATTGTGCACATCCCCACTCAACGCATAGATCAGCCTTAGCTTAATGATGGACTAAAACAATAACCAATAGGCTCTCGAACCAATCAGGCAAAGAATCCTCCATATTAATCCACAGAAATAAAAAACAACAACACAAGAGCAAACGGAAGATTATAAAACAGCCTTGGGTCTTGGAAACATCAGTCTTGCAAAGCAGTAAAGAATCAATCACAGCCCATGACCCTCCTGTGGTGACCCCAAATCAACAGAGACTGAATCAGGGCAGCAGCGACATGTATAAAACATGAGCAGGGCTTTTTGTTTTGTTTTTTATAATTGCGGTTTTTCAAGTTGTGTTTCCATGACTACCTATTGTAGTGTGGTATTTGCCCTAGTAGTGGAAAGATGTTTTAGAATATTGTATACCCTCAATTCTAACACCTTCATTTGCAGAATGCCTCCCTTAGAGCTTTTCAGGGGGGGATGACAAACAATGCCAGATTAAATGTATGCGTTTATTGTAAGAAGAATTCTACTTTCAAATATTAAAATAGGGGAATTATGTGATTTAAAAGAAACAAAGGAATTTCCCTCTTCCCCATAAAATTATCAGTGCACTTACATAGAAGGTTGATCATTTAAAAGTAACCTCAAAGACAGGAATTAAAAACAAGTTTTGTACTATTCTATGCCCTGTTAATATAAATTAGAATAATCTTACTTGGGGGAAATTTTGGAATATATTTCTTTATGTTGGCAGCTCAGCATCCATTTACCCCACTTACAATGATGACCTTCCGTTTTTGTTTGGAGAATCTCTCCCTCACTCTTAGACCGTGTGGGTCCAGAGGCATTCACTCCCACTCCAGACACAAGAGCAGGGCCTTGCATTCATTTGGTCCCAAAGATGTTTTTGGTGATGGTCTGTGACTTCATCAGAACCAAGGGAACTTGTAGCCAGAGGTGAAGGTTCCTCCCACAGGATGAGTCCGGGGTTAAATATGGGAGATATAGGAAAAGGCCACACTCAACTTTTGACCACATGGGGTCTGAAACTGAGAACAACAAAGAGGGGACTTGGGGGTGGAGAAAAACCAGCTACTGATGTTGGTTGAATCCATCTATACCTGAGGCTAGCCCTATTTCTGGACTTTTAATTTACACTAGCAAAGAGATTCTCTATTTTGCTTAAGCTAGTGTTGTCAGATTTTCTATTACTGGCAATACAATTATTCTTAAGTGATATAGGAATCGATACTAAAAGTGAGTATTAGATGTGACTAACCCTAAAATGTGCAGTGGCTGTACCATTACAGGATTCGGAGAAAAAATTAGAATGTGGGATTGTGCTGGCCATTTCTTACAGCCTTCAGTAGGATCCTCAGGAAAGACATGAAGCTGAAACGGACTGGAAGCAGAGGGAACAAAATGCAGCTTTGTTAATACAGACTTTTTCCCTGTATGACCTGCAACCAAGATGGTTGAGAATCAAATAATGTGGAGCCTTGTGGATTGGAAAACCCGAATTCTCCATGTTACGCTAACGTTAGGTAGAGTAGGATCAGAAGGTAAGAACCATATCGGGAAATAATTTTAGCAGAAGCCCAGTTCTCCACTGTCCCTACAAAGATATTCTGTATGTCCTCTAGTCTGAGCAAAAGGCCAGTTACTTTCATTGGGATATACTGGGATCCACCTCAGGAGCAAGGAGTAAGCTGTCAGTGGTTCCACCACCTTAGGCCACTATCAGAGACCAAGATAGAGGCCATAAAATTAGGACATGGAGGATGGCTCGTTTGCTAGAAGCCAGAAGGACCCAGGCCTGGTTTGACATTCAAAGACTTTGACTCAACAGATTCTTGAGTTTTGAAGACTAATCCACAGAGTTCAGGGATTGGATACTACAGGATGAAACCCAAGACTTGTTAAGAAACAGTTGATGACTGCTCAAACCCTAAGGCAATCCCAAGATCCCTGAAGCCAGAACAGGAAGTGGGCTGTAGAGCAGGAGGAGCCCTGCTCTTAGCCATGGTTCTGGAAGATAACAGATAAGAGCCATCCTTGCCAAGGGCAGACGCAGGAGAGCCAGTGGCTGACCAAAGTGCTCACGCACTGCACAGGTGGAATTAATTTGTTCAGTGGGTTATAAAATCTGCTAGAGACTGGTGACCAATGTCTCATTCT